ACTGTCCAACAATTCAAGTCACGTTTCTCTGACACCTATCAAAGAACTTGAGGAAATCCTCTGAATATTCTTCCAATACTTCTGGATGATCAGACATTATTTTGAAGATCTAGAACTGTCCAGTAATTCAAATTACGTCTCCCAGATTTTCTTTGATGACACCAGTTTGATCAAAAATAATTCCAAAAACCTTCCAATGTCCTGCTGCAGATTTTCCAAAATCCGGATTAAATCGCGTATTGTCCTCGATGATGCTTACCGCTATTTATGAAATATTTGAGATTTTAGACTTATAATATTTATTAAACGGGGACACCTGTTGGTGGGTTTCAAAAAATCAATTTTTTGTATTTTCGGCATCCTTATAGCTTGTAGAATGTTGTGTAAAAATGCCAATTCGATAAACAGTAAGAAGTAGGAAACCTTGACCGAGCAGGTGTACACAGGTATAAATCTTTAAACGCGTTTTTTTTTTCGAAACAGGGATCTTGGAGACTATTTGGTCCATTTAACTGATTCTTCTGTCTGCGATGTAAAATGAATTATCTAAAATCTAACATAGGATTTTTCGGATATTCCAACGCGCATGTAAGTAGCGGTTTTTTCAACGAAAAAATCGTTTTTTTTTTTCGAATGCTGGTAATTTTGCGAATTTCGGAAAATTCTATGTTAGATTTTAGATATTAATCACTTATTTTCACCAATGCTTCAGTGCTGACAACGCAGTCCCGGAAGCGCCAAAAACATTGCCTGCATCTTTCTGGTTGCAGGGCTGCCAACAACGGAAAAAATAATATTTTCGGTTGATTTATTTTGAAAATAGAGCTGAATTGTTGCATACTGAAAACGAAGTGATTGCATTTGTTCTAATGTCATAAAAAAAATAAAATACTCCGTTTCTAGAGATCGCAATAGAATTCAATTGATTATTTTAAGGTTCCAAGCAAATTTCCTGTTGTTTTCAATTGTTTTAATTCCCCGTTTTCCCGGATCATTGGCCACCTTGGAAAAGGCAATCAAGTTTCCAACAACTTTATCTCAGACGTTATTTCGATTAGATGAACCGTTTTCGTGCTATGATTTATTTTAAAGTATCAAATACGCCATTTTGAAAAATTAGGCATTGTTAACATGGCCGAATTCCAGTTTAAACTTGGTTCATTACCCCTAGTGAACAATTACGTAAAGTTTAATGGAATGTGGAGAGGGGAAAATAACATCTATTCGTAAGTTTGCGTGAAACTGCTCAGTAAGCTCTCCTCAAATCCAAATAATTACTTAAGTTTCCCCTGAATTCAGTTTTGTACCATTTTTGGTCACTTTTTGATTAACCTTAAGTCACTTTTCAGAAACTTTTTCAAACTATTTGGTCACTATACTGCCGCTCTTCGCATATCGGTCCCATAGCAGTTTTTGTCAAAACTGAGTTTTACAATGCAAATGGTAGCTGATCACCCATATTTTCTTAATACTGGATGAACTCAATAACTTTGTTCTGAAAAAGTTTGGAAAGACAGCCAAATTGGTTGTCTCATCACATAAGAAGCAATAGTACGAATCAAGCTTAAAATGCGATTTTCTCGGCTTGCTGATTTTTGCCATGGGACCGACATGCGAAGAACAGATTTTTTTAATACTATGGATTGAAAAATCAAAACATCTACATGCTTAGTAGGGGAATTTACGTATTCTCGTCAATCTAAGCAGCTTCCGCACTTCTATTAGCATTTTCCCAGTGTCACGCACACATATGATGTGTCTGTTTGTTAACATTCATCTGCTGCTAGCTATTCTATCCATTCCAATCAACAAAACTGTCCAAAACGGTTTGAAAACGTTTTTAAGGCGCTACAAACTTCTCAGGTGAGTGTGACTATTGTCGGCAGCCTCTTTTACTTCGGCAACCTTTCCGTTTAAACTGCGTGTAAACCAGCTGTTCTATTATCGGCAACTCGAAATCAGCCGTATTTTTGCAGAAACACCTGGCATAACAGGTTTGCTCAGTCGTAAAAATGTATTAGGATTGAAGCTGAAAAACTAAGGAATCGTTTAAATACATTCAGCGAAGTGTTTTAGTGAGAAAATACACCGAAATTAACGTTTAAATTGTGGTTACCGAAAACAGTCGATGGCTGCCGAAGCCATCATTTACCCTATATCAATTCAAAATTAGCTAATATTAAGTTTTCGAGAACAATTTTCTAGAAATGTTATCACAGACAAACATACATAACACATTGAATATTTATCATAACTTCTTCTTCTTCTTCTTCGCATTTCAAGCTTATTGCATATCGCATATTAGCTTATTGCGTGCTCTCAAGTTAGTGTTCTACTAGATGCACTTCCACCGTTATTAATAGAGAGCTTTCGATGCCAATACCAATTGCATGAATTTGTATATTGTGTCATCCTCTATCCCTCACCCAGCCGGGGGCGTTGGACAAGAAGAACTGCAAATAATTTGATCAAATCTCATGCTCCGTAATGGTGCTCTTTATGTTGTGAAGACTAGTACTTCAAAAAGGGTAACTTTTGAGGCAAGACAGGGTGTCCTCAACAAGTTAAGGGAACAGGATGCACTAGCAAAACATCACATAGACGCCCTTATTCACACTAACTACTCAGGGGGTAGAAGGTCAAGAAGAGCCACCGCCGCCAACTAAAGCTTGAACCGGGTACCTGGGACTCCCACGATATACCCGCGGCAATGGTCAGCAGACGATGCCCTGTGCGTATTTAGTATGTAATATGTTTTATTTGGATACACAAAATGTTTCAAGCCATGGGAACCTCAGTATAAATCGAAAAGGCAGTGGCGAATAGGGTGGGGTTGGAAAGTTGACTCACCCAGTCGAGGAAATTTCCATCCCGAACAAACAACCAAAACAGATCGACAAACGAAGGTCAGCATAGGGTTAGCGGAGTAAACAATCAAACCCAAACTAGAACGTAACTCAAAAACATTCGACAGCATGCTATCAAATCAGAAACCGGTCACATGGAACATGGAACATGTTATAGGTCGGCAGTCTGAACAAGGCATTACACCAGTCTCTACAACGAGTTATCTGTATTATTTAGATCCCTTTCTAATCATTTGTGCACTAAATATCTATCCTTATTTGCTACCGTACACTGACCTGAAACCCATCACCCATCTCTTCACCGTTCTTCAAACGATTGATAAAAGCAAAAGTCTTCCAGGAATTTACCACCGATCCTAATATATCATCGTAGGAAGTTTATGTCGTTAAATAGCATTCGGGTTGAATTGGTAGGTATGCTATTGACGGCAGTGACATTCAGAATGTTAGTAGGTTGGCGTCAACATTTTACGTTTCGAAGCGACACAAGCACTGTCTTGATCGGATTATGTTCCGCTCGTTTAGTCGTTAAATGAATCAACGGTGACACTTCTGCGCTCGCGTCTTATGAATGAACAAATAGGGTAGAGAACTGTTGCGGCAAAGGGAGCCCATTTCCGTCATATAGAGTTTAAATACCAAATAAACCAATGATTTCAACGTGAACGAATCAATCATACGTTTGGTACGACAGTTTAGATTAAAAGCTACACGGCGAATGAGAACGACCCAAATTTGAGTTTAGTTCACTCATAATCGCCAAAAGTGCAGGAACTCAGCGATGAGTAAATTTGCCTCATGGTTTCCTGTGGAAAACCTAAAAAATCTGCCGGAAGATAAGGAAATTGACGAAAATTTTATTCAGTCTCGGAGTAGTACCTATAGACTGAGTGAATCCAATCTTTTACTTTTCTCAAATTCGGGAATTTTTCCCTGGAAAATCCTGGAAAAACCTGAGGAAACATGAGACAAATTTTACTCATCGCTGAGTTCCTGCACTTTTGGCGATTATGAGTGAACTAAACTCAAATTTGAGTTGTTCTCATTCGCCGTGTACAAAACAAAGTCTATTGATGAATTTGTGAAGTGACGATCGACCAGCAGATGGAAATGGTGTAATGACGTTTTGCTATCTGGCAAATCGCATGGAATGTTTTTGAGTACAGATTTGGCTTTGCTTAAATTCATCAATAAGAAGGCATAATATAAATCTAGATAGAGCTGGAATTAGGGCGTAACAGCTTTTGTAAACAATGACTTCTCTCGATGATTTCTACAAAATCAAGGCTCGCCCACGCAAATCAACATCATCATCGAGTAGAGGAAGACTTCCCTACCCGATAGTTGTATTGGATTGCGTAGCCGTGCCTTGAATTCCTAGAAATCTTTAAGAGAAGTAATTGTTTACAAAAGCTGTTACGCCCTAATTCCAGCTCTATCTAGAAATATTTACATCCATTCTTATCAAAAACGAAAGAAGCGCTCCTAGCAAATCCATTTGTCCATATCTTCCACCCGTTTAACCAAAGTGAATCCAATGACGTAATTGGATTCAAGAAGCAATGTTAGATTTTCAAAAACATCTAAACCATTTGTGAATCATTATCGAATCCAACGGGTACGTCTGGAAAGGTAAATAAATTTATAAGTCATCTTTGATAGTAACATTATGCTTAGTACGACGGAAATTAGATCCTAACCCTAGGTGCTTGAAATCGCCGCTTACCACTCAAGAAGCCGGCGGCTACTGATAAAAACAAGTAACCTCAAATCACGGCAAGAGCACTTCTAAGATCTAGAATTTATGCAATAAAGTGTACACTTGAAATATGGATCACAAAACGTAGCTGTTGATAACCTCTTTAATAGATTATACACGAATGTCAATCAAAACAGAGCAGCTTAACACGTTATTGTAGGCAACCAAACCGAACCGGTTTGAAAATTGTTGTAAACAAACGAAGTTCTAACTCTAGCCGCAACGGAGGCTAGATGAAATGAAAGTCAACAACAAATAACAAGGCTATAAAATTGCACTGTTTCGGCTGCTACAGATAATGCGTAATTTAAGTACACGAACAAAAGACGATCATAAATATTTACGAATCTGTAATTTCTTATCTTCTTGTACAGGAATCTTTTTCACGGATGGGGACAGCTGGCGCGAGCAGCGCCGATTCTTCCTGAAAACGTTGCACCACTTTGGCTTTGGACGGCGTAGTCCCGAGGCGGAAGCGGACATCCAGGCCGGATTGGAGGACGTGATCAGTCTTCTGCGCGATGGACCAAAGTACGATCACGAGAAGGCACTGGTCGACGAGTCCGGGTTCGCGCTCTGTCCAACCGTATTCTTCGCGGTCTTCTCCAACGTACTACTGAAGATGATCGTCGGGGTCCGATTGCCACGGGAAGATCAGGGTGTGTTATTTGAGTAAGGTTTTTGTTTTCCTATTTTCCGAGTACGAATCATTCGAGCATTGTTTTACAGAGTCGGTAAGAACGCCATCGCCTTCCATCGCAACGGAGATGACTACGGGATGGTACTGAGCTACATTCCGTGGATTCGGCACTTGTTCCCGGTGGCTTCCAAGTACGACCTGTTGCGGAAAGTCAACCAGCAGGCAAATGCGGTGGTGCTCAGTTTGGCGCAAAAGTGCGAGAAGACCTACGATGAGAACGATATGCGCTGCCTCGTGGATGCCTACATCAAGGAGATGAGAGCCAGCGGTAGCGATGGGGCTTCCACAGGAAAGGACGAATTCGGTTTCCAATGTGAGTTTGCCGGAGCGTTTATTCCTAGCATTCGTTAAATAATCTTTTTCCTTCCAGATGATCAGTTGGTGATCGGCTGCGCCGATTTTCTCGTACCACCCTTTTCGGCCATCCCGGCCAAGATCTGTTTGATATTGGAACGTCTCATCCAGCACCCGGAAGTGCAGACCAAAATGTACCGCGAACTGAACGAAGTCGTTGGAACGAACCGCCTCCCCACGCTGGACGATCGAGCAGGTCTCCCGTACTGCGAAGCAGTTATCCGGGAAGGTCTTCGCATCGACACCCTGGTCCCTTCGGGTATCCCACACGTCGCCGTAAACGATACCGAGCTTCACGGTTATCAAATTCCCAAAGGAACCGTCATTATCAACTCGCTGAATTTCATCCACCACCAACCGGAGCTCTTCCGAGACCCGAACTTATTCATGCCAGAGCGATTCCTAAATCAGGATGGCAAGCTGGCGCTCGATCAAGATCGCTCGATACCGTTCGGAGCGGGCAAGCGTGTCTGCGCCGGTGAACAGTTTGCCCGAAATGCACTCTTCCTGGCCCTTACGGCGCTGGTTCAGAACTTCACCTTCCATCTACCGAACGGTAGCACCACTCCTGACCTGGAAGCACGCATCACCGGCGTCATACGCACAACGCCCGACTTCCGACTAAAGTTTGCGAGTCGTCGTTAGAGTTGTATTGCTCGCCGGAGGTGGCGAGCAAGTCTTTGGAAAGATCGCGTATATAACTTAGTATAGCAGCGCACGACAGCACAACAATCAAGCACCTTGTCATCTATCGAAACAACTCTCTAACATCGCGCTTCATTTCGTGTAATGATAACATGTAATAATTAATGTGTAATGAAAAGGCTATTTTACCAAATCTATCACTGGACCCACAGAATAAAGATTATATTTAACCTTATCGACTGGTGGACTTTTTACTGTTTCTCTTGAATTCACTTTAACGTATTAAACATGCTATGATGTGATTTGTTTGGGTTTGGGAAAACAACATATTTCCGTCTTTGCAGTTCACGGGTTAATCTGGTGCCAGATCAAGGTTCATTTTACAATGTATACGAGCATGCTAAGCAACAAAACCCACATCTCAAAGGGTTTATTTTTTCCTTTTCCCTCCTGCTCGGATTCACTACTGACCCAATTTCTTCCACAGAGTAACGACCGGGCAATATAGGCGGAGTCAGGGTCTAACTGAAGGGAACGAAAGTGACCCCCTTTTTAACTAAATTTTTGTTCAAATGCTTTTTAGTGCTGTACTACCCATAATCGCATATCAGTCCCATCTTTGCTTGGTTTCCTATCCATGTGGAACAGTTATGCGATTATGGGCAGTGTAGCAGTTTAGGTTTAAAAAAATTGGTGAATCACATAAAAGTTAAAATAGGCAGCACCATCGTCATCGAAATGTAAGTATTACTGACAATAATCATAACTAGATGATATTCAAATTTATATGATAGGTAACTGTATCAACGATATTTAAACATGCGCGTCGAGCTTGAAGGCTTCAAATTCTGCATGTCAACACCTTTGACTCTTCTTTCTCTTATCCTTCATCTATGCATCCACGCTTCTATGTTAAGGGTCCAACAGGGCATCCGATTGAAGCGATTTGGACGGGGAGAGTGGAAATGCCAACTCACTGTTGATAACATTTCGTGGATAAAGTGCGGGCTCTTCTCCCCACTCATTAGGGCATCTTCCTGTTTGGGGCTCGTCTTTTTGACCAATTGTGCGTTCATGTTGCTTGAAGGAGATTCTTTACTGTCCCGTAGATGCGTATAGGCGACTTTGCCTATCTACATGCTGCATATTGGACTTAGTTTCCGTGCTACAATGAGTGGTAGACCACTAGCATTCTAAATAATGAAATACATTTTTTTTTAATCTTCTGAAGCAAAGCACACATTCTGCGGAGAAATAAACTATTATCAAAAACATCAACATAGTAAATCACATCTACTCCACGAAATATGACCAATGTTACTAATAACGACGAGCATAGAGCAATATGGCCATTAGACTGATGCAAAATTTAACTTTTTCGCTCCACAGTGCTTAAATGGTTTCAAATCGGGTCCTGATTAGTCTCCCAAAGTTACAACTCATTTGGTTATAAACAGACTTCGCACAAGCCATTTGAAGTTTACATTTAAATTATTATGGGAAATCTCAACTTTTTGTTCATTGCCTTCTAGTCTTTTTCCATATTGAGCTGCGAAACAGTTCGATAGTCATTCTTATAGAAAATTTTCTCAGCTACAAGTTTGCTGAAGATCGTTTCTATGTAAAACAAAACAGGAAAAAGTTATTAATTATTTAAGAGATTGGTAAACTTATGACATGATCAAGAAGCTGCTCTGTAGGCAACACTGTATTTTGCAGTGTGACATAGTAGCCATGATTTTTGTGTCCTATTCAACGCCCCAGAAACACCAATGTTGCCTGCTGAGCAGTTGATTGAGCATGATCATAAGACATCAGCGCATTGAACCAATGATAACTTTCGATCCTTGCATTTAATCAAAAAGTTATTTTGAGCAAAGTTATAGCTGGGAAAATTTCCTACAAGCACAGTTGAAAGCTTTTGAAGCAGACCGATATGGTGAATTATTAGATAGGCATGAACAAAAATCTTGGTTTTACCATAGTAATTCCCATACAAACTTCAAATGGTTTGTGCCAGCTCAGTTTCTCACCAAATGGGTTCAAATTTTGAGAGGTTTATCAGGATCCGATTTGGAATCGTTTAAGTATTGTGGAGCGAAAATTTCAAATTTTGCATCACTCTAATGGCCATCTTAGAATCGGTTAAGGATATTCTATGGTTCCATATGCTAAAATTTGATATCTCTGATAACCATATCAAGCGATCAAGCGACAAATCACTTCTATTCGACGAAATATGACCAACGGCTCTGAAATGAAAACCATATGGCCACCGTAGAACCGGTTCCGGATATTCCGAATTATGGCTCCACATGGTCAAATTCGTTATCTATTATTGACATATCAAATCACATCTACTCAACGAAATATAGCCTATGGCACTCAAAACAACAATCATAGAGCCATATGGCCACCTAAAAGACGATTTAAGATGTAGAGCTAAACTGAATCAGACAGATCCGAAGTCGATATCAACAGAATTTCAGAAACATCAGTGATGGTTAATCGACGATACACTATGGAGGGGCAGAAACGAAAGCACGTGCTGTATCAGAACTAGAGGTGGGCAATCCGCTCATGAACTGAGATAATGAACTAATCCTCGGGATGAACGGTGAACGACAACTATTTTTAAAATGAACGGTAGCTCACGTGCTCACCATATAAAAACATACCTAGATTGCGACTGCTGATCTAGCTTTTTTGTCTGCTCCACCTGCGTACAACTTTCACAAGAAAGGGACCAAAATAGTCCAGTCCAACATAGCTGCGAATCTTCGGAATATGAAAACCTTGACCAATCTCATTAACTGTGATCTCTTGGTTGCCATGCTTGAGTTGCCGATGATAGTGATCCACCAGAAGCGCTGCCAGTCGATGTTTCTTCGGAAAGATGAAGGGGTAACCGTTTGCATTAAAAAATAGACTTTTTTCGGATGGTGATTTTAAAAAAAGCTAATACAGATAATTTCTTTTGATAAATTTCCCATGGAAGGTAATTATTTAAGCTTACTTGCAAAAAAATCAACGTCCTTGCGAGCGGCCTTCCGGCAGTTAACCGGAACATTCGCCATGGCGGACGAAAACATGCGTGTAGGCATGTTTTTGAGTTCTTTCTTCGTTCTATTTATCAATTCCTCCACAGTTTTCTCGACAAAATTGTTGGAGTAGATTGGACGCTTCAGGTTGGCCCAGAAATTCTCGATGGCAGCTGGGGGACGTTGGGCGAGTTCGCCGACTTGGGTACCACATCGATATTCAGCCGCTCCATCTCCTCCAACGATCGCTTCGAGTAGTGGGCCGACGCCAGATCCGGCCAGAACACCGCGTCTTCCCCTTATGGCATTTCTTAATGAACGACGCAACTTCCGGCAGGCATTTCGTACTATAAATTTCTCCGTTCACGGCCAGTCCGGAGCGAAAGAAGAGCGGCTTTGACATCCCCTGCTCGCTGATTGTCAGCCACAGCAGCACCTTCTTGGGGAACTTGGTGTGTGAAATGAACTTCACCTCGGAGCTCACTTCCTTCGTGGGGTAAGTAAAATACGAAGTGCCCTGCCAGTCGTTGCCATCCAATGTGAGATAGGTCTCCTCGTCCATCACCACCGCCACGTCACGATTCGCCGGGAAAAACGAGTTGATCATCTTATTCAGCCGCTGCCGCTGCGTCATTGCCTGCAGCTCCGAAACCAGTGGACGTGACTTCCGCTTCCTGACCGACCTTCCGGCCAAGCGCACGCAGCGATGTAGCCACTTTTCCCTCGGTCTTCCTCTTCAACATTCTTTGGAGCTTCTTGTCGCTCAGGGTCGTCGGCTGTCCGGAACCGGGCTTTCTTTAGATGCTCTGATTGTTGTCTAATAGTGCCAAGATGTTGTAGATGCCGGAACGGACGTATCCGGCGTCCACAAAGTGCCGCACGATGTCCGTTTTCGACGCGGCGGGGTGCCGTTCTTTGAACGCGCACACTTCTGAACGGAGTTGCTTCACTGTTTTTGCCATCACGGTTAGAGTTCGACTGATAGAGCTGTCAAATTTTGTCTGCTGACTCATGGGTTACTATGATTGTTGCTGCATGGGTAGTTTCGTCAGTTTTCGTATTTTCGTATTCGTAGTTTCGTATTTTTTTAATACAACCGTTATTTGGCATCAGTTGAAGTACATTGCGCTGCCGCGATTCTGCCGTTCACGCGAAGAACTCCAAAATCATCCGGCATTGGTGTGACCTCGTAGATATTGCTGGATTTCTCTAGCGGCCGTTGTTTCTCTGACGGGAGGAAACGATTTGTAGACAAGGTGATAATCTCGTCAGGAAATGATTGCCACTGAATTAGCCGGAAAATTGAGTTTTCGATCATTTTCAGATCCTTTTTCGTAAGAACCTTGGTAATTCTAAGACTAGTAGGTACCGAAGAAACGTGATCAACTGTTTGGCTCAGCTCTGGTACTCTCATCGGTCCCAAGTTAATCGATTTACCTTTCAAAACATAGGAAAATCCACTAACCCCTCATTTTATCTGTCAAACTTTCATAGTGAATCAAAACAAACATTGTGTAGTACTAGAATTTCGACTAGAATGGGGTACGTTAATCGTTTGCTTGGGGCCAATAGGCTAGTCAAGTAGTGAGCCAATTTAAAATCGTTAGCTTCGTATTGATTGTTGGTGTTATGGCGAACATTGCGACAGTTGGTGATGAAACGGTGGACGTATGCCTCTGACACATTGCACCACTTCGAGAATCGGTCGATGTCCACAATGCATTCGGGAACATGTATCTCCCGATGAACGTAACAGGTAACTCCTCTTCTCCTGCTTTTTCCGGATCACCTCTCTTCCACTCTCGCTCAGGTAAGTATAGAAATTCAGGTCCGCTGTACCAGATGCTGTTGGAATTTCACTACGGTCCGGTTCCACACTTCGCAGCCTCGTCGGCTGGACTATCTTTCGATGTTACCCAGCGCCATTTGCTGCGGTCGGTCGCT